CGGTAGTGAGGTTGGCCCAGGATCGGACATTGTTTCATTCTGCTGTGCATGGGGTCGCTATGAGTCAGTTCCGACTCGATGTCACCTGACAACAAACAACAACAACAGTCGAGTTATGATTATCAAGCCGTTGAGGCTAGGTCAAATGGGTATTGTCTGCAAGTTTGGGTGCTCTTGTGCATCTTCATATCAGCTAGATGCTTCACTCTCACCTTTAGCCCTCTGTGGCTATGCCCTTTTCCATGGGCTCAGGTGTTTCCAGGTCTCACTACACTTTGGACCAACCAGCCCTTCCTGTTCTCTTTCTCATCTCCAGATCAATGGGAGTCTATGGACTGTGGTTAAACTCAGCCCATTTCTTCATTGTTGCTTTTCCTCATCTTCTACTCACTGGTAGACCAATGTGGTCACCAGCAAGGTTACATGTCTATTTGTATGTTCCATTTGAGTTTCAGTCTTAGAGGGGAGTTTGTCATGAAGGAACTTGATTGCTTGCCTTGATGGCTTCCTGGTGAACAGCTTGCTTATTCTTGTAGTAGCCAGTCATGCTGACATTTTTTTTCCCAGTTTTTCCTGCTGATCTCTTTGAAGAGGTATCTTCTGTTGCTCTAGCTGTTCCAGGTTGGTCTGCTTGTCCTTGCTAGTGGGAATGTCCCATCTCATAAGGTTCTGGATGGGACTCAGGATTCCACCTAAGGTCCTATACTCTGCAAAGGCTTTTTTGCAAGCGGCCTAATTCACTGGGCAAGTTCTAGCACCTCTTTTAGGTATTCCAATCAGTTATTGGTTGAAGATGGGTTTACAAGTTTTCTGTAATCATGTTTCCCAACATTCCTTTCTATCCTACTCAAGTGTCTATTTTAGGATAGTAGACAAGGGAAACCAATATTCATAAGACAGTCAAGCATTTTAGTACTATTTTCCCTCTTCAAACTATGCCTAGATCCCTGTATCCCAGAGCCCTGTTGTTCCAAGGTTGAGCTTGCATCACTATTTACCTCTGTCCCACTTAGTCCATGCAAACCTGTCTCAGTATTCCCCTATTTATTTTGTTCTTCTGCCTCCTCCCCCTTCTTGTATTGCCCTCCCCAACACCCGAACTAAATCCCCCACCCCAACCCCGCTATTGTAGTTTTGTTGTTAGGTGCCATAGTCAGTACCGACTGATAGCGACCCTATGCACAACAGAACGAAACTCTGCCCGATCCTGGGCCAACCTCACTACTTGAATCCATCGATGCTGCCACTTAGCTAATCCATCTCATTGGGGGTCTTCCTTTTTTTCTCCAACCCTCCACCTTACCAAACATGATATCCTTCTTCAGTGACTGGTCCCTCCTGACAATATATCCGAAGTATGAGATACGAAGTTTGGCCATCCTGGCCTCCAAGGAGCACTCTGGCTGCACTTCTTCCAAAACAGATCTATTGTGGTTAGTTTACCTTATATTCCGTTAACTCTTCCCTCCATTTAAGACAGTCTATTTTATCCTGTAATCTACCTGACCTTCTCACCACTTGGATCTCTTTTCCTCTGTGTTTACGTTTTTTCACATTGCAATTGTTTTGATCATAAACTGACCTCCCAGATCCTCTGTTCTTATCATTTTATTCTGTTCTTGACTCTTCCATTTGTCGATTGAGTTCAGGGTGATACTGTCGCATACGTCATTGTCTAGTTGTTGTCTGTTCGTGTTAGTTCTTAGTACACAGAACTTATTTTAGGATATTTTTCATAGTAGGGTTAACTGTGGCAAAATCCTTTAGCTTATGTTTATCCTGGAATGTTTTGATTATGCCGTAGTATTTGATGTAGTCAGGAAATGGGCTTCCCTTTTCATAAACGAAGGTTCTGAAAGCTTTGCTTCATTCATATCATTATAGTCAACTCTACTTTGAGGGGGCAGCTCTTCACCAATCATATTTTGAATGTCTTCCAACCTGAGGGGTTCATCTTCCCATACTACATCTGACAGTATTTCACTGCTATTCATAAGGTTTTCAGTGACTAAATCTTCAGAACTAGTTTGCCTCTCCTTCCTAGTCTATCTTAGTCTGGAAGCTCCACTGACATCTGCCCACCATGGATGATCCGCTGGTTTTTAAGATACTGGTGGTATAGCTTTCAGCATCACAGCAACATGCAAGCCACAACAATCAGGTTAGATAGGGATGGTTGCAGAAGAAGCCTCCTGGGAGATCTGGGGAGGCCGTTGCTTCTCACTGGGTTTATGTTTCCCTGTATGTAAAGCAAGACCTCTGGACTCCCTGACTCCCAGGGCCTCTGCCAGTTCTGTCCCCTGACAAGGTATGTGACTGTCCATGCATTGAACATTCCCCTGTAGGCCCAGTGTTAGACATGGCAAACATCCCAATTCCCACTGAATCTGTCTTGTCCCTGTTTGCAGCCTTCCAGACATTCCTGGGCAAAGAGGACATATCTCGAGAAATGGAGGAGGTCCTGGCAGAGAGCCGTGTTCAGAGGAACATCCAGCTGGTATCTGTCTTGGAGTTGCTGAGAAGCCCCTACGTCCGATGGCAGGTCCTCACTGTGGTCATCACCATGGCCTGCTACCAGCTGTGTGGCCTCAATGCGGTGAGGACTGGGGCTATGCCAGGGCATCCCCACCAACAGAGGAACCCAGAGAAGCTTTAGGGTGGATGGTCCAGGTTGGAACACTTGGTGTTCATTCTAAACTCAGCCCACCATCTCCACCCTCAGTGTCCAACTGTACAATGGGATGTCACACTACTAAAAGAAGCCATCCCACCCGGGGTTCCTTGCAGCATCTAATTCAGAGTCATCCCTTACAAAATGCTACTTACTACTAACACCCTCAGAAACCCTGTACAGGGTCGCTATGGGTCAGAACCGACTCGAAGTCACTTAACAACAACAACTAAAACATTTGGCACAAAAGTGCTTAACTACTAGCCAAAAAGTTGCTGGTTTAGACCCACCAAGAGATACCTCAGAAGGCAGACCTGGGGATATGTCTCCAGAAGGGCAGAGTCTTGACAACCCTATTCTACACACATGGGGTCACCATGAGGCAAAATCTATTCAGCATCAGCACCTAACCACAACAAATACTGGAAATACTGAAAAGTCCTATTTCTCAACCAAGTGGGCATTGGAAAGTCATAAGCAAAAGACAGTGGAGGCAGTGGACCTCAGTGGTAGAACTCTTGTTGCTTTCAAGTTCAATTCCCAGCTCCTCATGGGCAACTAGCACCCATCTGTCAATGGAGGCTTACGTGATTCTATGATTCTGAGCAGGTTTCAGCAAAGCTTCGAGACTAAGATAGACTAGGAAGAAAATCACCCAATGGAATCTCTATGGGTCACAACAATCCAAAATACAACTGATCATGGGGATAACACAGAACTGACAATACTTAAGGTTCCCATCAGGTTCCCATGAGTCAGGGACCAACACAGTCAACACAATGACACTAGAGAAAGAGACATGAAGATGATTTAAAAACATGTACTTGTGGCCAGACTGTCCTCAGTTCACCATTCTGTCCTGAGAAAACCTCAAGGATTTAGATGCAAATCTTCTTGAGGGCTGAGCTTACATGGGTAGGAATGTTTGAGGAGAAGGTCTCTCCATGAGCTTCTGGAACCTTCTGATGAAGTCATTCACCTTCTCTCTGGAAGGCTCCAGAGGGCTAGCTTCATGAAAACGAAGGATAGGAGTACTGATTCTCTGAATCATGATTGCTACTGCAAAATGGAAGTAGGTTACCAAGAGGTAATGAACTCTCCATCCATGAAGGTGTGCAAACAGACTGCTCAGCCACTTGGCAGGGTTGCTATAGAAGAGATTCTTGCACTGTAATAGCCAAGCTCCCTCTAGCGTCATTGGTGTAGCCCAGCAGAAGGCGGCTGAGCCCAAAGGGCTGGAGGAAGGGGAGGCTGCCTCTTACCTTCTGGTCAGCCTCAGCTCAAACAACTCCGAGTTTATCAAGCATGAGCATGAGCCCTCATCCTCTGAAAGTCAGCAGGATGCATGTCTGGGTGTTGAGGATTGATGAAGAGAAAGAAAGGGTTCCTTTTTGGAGAGAGAAAGATGGCGGCATTGAAAGCCACAACTAGATTCTATTTTCAGAAACATTGGGTTGAAGTGAAGTCATTTGGTTTTTCCTTCTTCCTCAATTTAGGCTGCAGAATGAGGAGGCTCCTGGGTTGAGAGTTCTGCCTTAACTTTTGGGGTGACCTTGGGTAGTGCCTCCTGGAAAGACCAAGTCTTAAGAAGATCATCTTGAATCTGCCTGCCCTCCTTATTTTAAGAAAACTTTGAGGAGAAAAAGATATCTGTTTCTTAAAGCTCACACATACAGTCTTAAACATTGCATATGAAATCTGTGTTTTATGCAGCATTTAGATGGAGAACCATGACATTTCTAAACAGAATTTTCTCCTCCACTGGAACATGGTTTTCCAATTTGCATACCCCATGTAGCTTTATAAATTCTGCACAGGTGCATTTGTAAGCCCTACTGCATAAATATCTTCTTGGGGGGTGTGGGGGGGGACAAAAACAAATCTGTCTCCTCCACTCACAAAGTCAGACTTGTCAAAGTGTTTATTCTGCATCTTTGTGTTAAGTCGGTGATAATACTTCCAGCTTGACATAGTTTACTTGACATGGAGCAAAGCAACTTTGAGTCAAGAGTCAGAAAGACTGTCTTCTGGGCTGAGGGTAAGAGTGAGCCTGCAGTGAGAACCTCTCTGGTCACCTTCCCTTGCCCAGCCCCCATCTACTCTGCTGAGATGATACTAAAGCTTTCACTTTCTTAGCACTTACCAGGCACTACATAAGAAAGGCCTGGCTATTTGCTTCTGTTAACATAGTTATTGTTGATGTCGCTTTTGTTGTTGGTAAGTGCCATCGAGTCAGTTTCAACTCATAGCAACCCTGTGTAGGGTTTCCAAGGAGCAACTGGTGGGATTGAACTGCTGACCATGTGGTTTCACAGTCCAGTGTCACTCCTACAGCACCAAACCAAGAGTCATGCCATTAAGTCAGTCCACTTATAGTGACCCCATGTACAACAGAACCAAGCACTGCCCAGTCCTACAGCATCCTCACAATTGTTAGATTGGAGTCCACCCATTCAGCCACCGTGTCAATCCATCTCACTGAAGGTCTTCCTCATTTGTCACTACTTTACCAAGCATGATGTCCTTCTACGGGGACTGGACCTCTACAAATGTCATGTCCAAAGTATGTGAGACAGTCCTGCCATCCTCATTTAACTTCTAAGGAGCATTTTAGCCATACTTCTTCCAAGACAGATTTGTTCATTCCTCCAGCAGTCTATAATCAATATTCTTTACCAATAGTATAATTCAAATGCATTGATTCTTCTATAGTCTTCCTTATTCATTGTCCAGCTTTTGGAAGTGATTGAAAATACCTTAGTCCTCAAAGTAACATGTTTACTTTTTAACACTTTTCAGAGGCCTTTTCGAGCAGATCTGCATAATGTAGTATGTTGTTTGATTGAGCAGTTTCTTCCATAAGTGGTGATTGTTGATCCAAGTAAAATTAAATCCTTAACAGCTTCAATCTTTCCTCAGTTTATCATGATATTGGTTCAATTATGAGGATTTTTGTTTTCTTTGTGTTGAGGTGTAAAGCATACTGAAGGCTGTATAGTCTTTGATCCTCAGCAAGTGCTTCAAGTTCTCTTCCCTTTCAGCACACCAGATTGTATCATCTGCATATCGCAGGTTGTTAATGAACCTTCCTCCAATCACTATGCCATGTTCTTCTTCATATAATCAAATTTCTTGAATTATTTGCTCAGCATACAGATTGAATAAGTATCATGAAAGAATACAACCCTAGCACACACCTTTCCTGATTTTCACCCATGCAGTCTTCCCTTGTTCTGTTCAAAAGACTGCTTCTTGGTGTATGTACAGGTTATGTATGGACACAGTTATGTGTTCTGGAGATATCATTCTTCATGATGCTATCATAGTGTGCTATGAGCCACAAAGTTGAATGCCCTTGTATTATCAATAAAGCACAAGTAAACGTCTTGATGGTACTTTTTGCTTTCAGCCAAGATCCATGTGACATCTGCAGTGATAGCCCTCATGTGATGTCCTCTTCCGAATCTGGCTTGAGATTCTGGTTGCTTCCTGTCGATGTTGACATTACAGTTGAGACAACCTCATGGTAGTACAAGGTGTCACCATGAGTGGGAATAGTCTCAGTGACCAAAAAGAATTTATGTGCCCGGGCGTTGCCCTTCCTTCCTTCAGAATTCCTTCCTTGAGCAGAGGGAACTGATCCTACTAACTTCCCTGGACCTCCCTTTACTATGGTAAAACTGGGGGTAATAAGATTTTGTTTGTACATTTGCTATGGGGTTTATGGATGCAGTGTGTCTGACTTTCAGCTTCTACTAAATCCACCACTTGGCTCCCCACCCCTACCATTAAGTCCCTGGGTAACACAGTGCTTAAGCTCTCAACCATTAGCCAAAAGACTGATGGCTCAAACACCACCCAGAGGTGTGTCAGTAAACAGGCCAGGTTGTCTGTTGCTGAAAGGTCCCAGGCAGGAAAACTCTCTGGAGCAAATCTACTCAGTACACAAGGGGCACCATGAATTAACATTGACTCGACGGCAACTAACAACAACAATAATCCTGATATTATCAGTGTCTAGAGGAAGAAACTGTAGCTCACAAAGGAGCAATGACTGGGCAAGATCACAAGGAGTAGTATCTGTGCTGTCAAGCTCACCAGCTCCACCACTGCGGTTTGGTGGACCCACCTCTAAATCCCAGGGCCTTTCAGCCTCTGCACTAGCCACATTTTCAACAGGAGCCATCTTTGTGGTGAGGACTGTCCTATGTGTTGTAGGAGCTTAACAGCATCCCAGGCCACATTGGGTCGTCATGTGTTGGAACTGTTGACGGCAGTGGGTTTGAGATGTTAGGGTTTGGCCTTTACCCAGGAGATTCAAGTACCACTCCTCCCACACATCCCTCCCCTAGCTTTGACAACCAAAAATGTCTCCAGACATTGTCAAACATCCTCTCGGGACAAATCAGCCTGGCTGAGAGCCACTGTATGACGCAAACATTACATATTGCTCTGTTCATTTCTGTGCATTGTCGCTAAACAGTAGATGAATGGATCAAGAGAAAGTTAACATTAAAAATTTTGGAAAAAAAAATTTATTTTTGGTTGTTCCTAAATTCCTTTTCAGGTTCAGGTTGTTATTTTTACTGCCTCTCACAATGGCTTTCAAATTCCCTACTCTAAAATTAGACTTATCACTTAAAATTACCTCTTTATGCAATTGCCTTCTTCCTTTGTCTGAATGCCAGGTTCTCCTGTGTGTGTTCAGGCTCTCGGCAGTGGGAAAGAGATACTTCATTGCAGACCCCACATGCCTTCCCCAGGAAGGGCATGATGGCTTATACACCACTCCAACTCTAGTCATCAGTGGGTCGTCATCCCCCAGGGTGGAGTCACATCAAATCATCCATGTGTCCCTAGCAACTACTTCTTTTTTTAAAATGTTTTATTGTGAGTTATGTGATAGTTTACATGGGAGAACATTA